TAAGTCTCCCTGACCCTCCAAGTTGAATCTTCAAAAGGGCTTAGGGTCAGGGATGAGGAAGCTGGAACCCACTGCCCGTACCCTAGGTGTATACAAAGGCTCCTGCAGGGATTCATTCAACATTCCCCCATACTACCACCTTTCCCAGGTTCCGCCTGAATTATTCGTAGTCAACCTTTGATATCATTAAATTACCCCAATTAAAAGGGCGCCTAGGTGGGTGTAGTACAGGGGGCGCGTGGTTGGGGAATCCATTTCTAGGGTCGTGGGCGGTGCTCAGATGAGTAGTATTTTATTTNNTACTATGCTACCCATTATAGAGTAAGATTATATCCTCCTTTTTGGGTATAGTATTTATGTAAGGAATATAATCTTACTAGGTTCAACCGCCAAAAAAAATACTACTCAGATGCTTTGGGGTTATCATAGTGGAAGGTTTCGGGCTTTAGGGCGTAACAGTAGAGCCCAAAGGGCTGCCCCGGGCTTTTCAAGGCGATCGTGGCTGTATTGGATCATTTTTCGTTGCGTGGCTATTCTTAAACCCTAAACCTTTAACCCTAAGCCTTAAACCCTAAGCCTTAAACCTTAAACCCTAAACCCTAAGCCCTTGGGAGGTCATTTTGGGCTACCTAGTGTAAGGTCGAGGTTTGGGATGACGCATGTCCTTTGGGCAGAAGGACCCGTTTTACACCTTAAGTCCTTTTTAGGGTTTAGAGTTTAGGGTTTAGGGCTTTGGATCCAGTCCTAGAAGCCCGATCTCTGCAAACAGAGTCTAATGCTCAATGGCATGAAAGTCCAGTGCAATGATCCTTGACTGCTTCTCACATCCTATGCTCTGCAATTACAGCTCTTACGTCCTTTACTCGCAATTATTGCCCTTACATCCTTTTTTCTACAATTATGTCCAACCCATGCGCTGACGACAGGATTCCAAAGCCAAAGCTCCAAGGCGTAGAATGCAGCTCGTCCGTTCTTTAGGTTTCTTGAGGTTTCCCTAAACCCTGAACCTTACACCCTAAGCCCTAAGCCCTAATAGTTCCTAAGGATCCCTGTGCCCAATAGCCATAGGTTCCCCAAAACCTGTTATTGGGACACATGGACCCTTAGGGAGGTACCACCGCAACCGGGCACGCAGGTGGAGGCTTCACACCTAGGTTTTGTTTTTTTGTTTTTACGGTTCAGGGTTTAGGATTCAGGGTTTAGGGTTCAGGGTTTAGGGTTTAGGGTGTAGTGTTGAGGGACATTTCGAACTTGCAGAACTGCGCATGGCTTGGGATGTGCAGCTCCAAACATAATTGGCCCAACAGTTTTGGAGGGTTTCGGTTCCCATGCAGGTAAGGAGGAGGTGAGCATGAAGTAGAGGGCTGGAGCCCAAAATACGCCCCCCAACATACTCTTACTTAGCCAATAGAAGAAGTTTCACTTTTTTGTGCTTCTTGTTTTGGTCTCTATGATAAAGTTTGAACTTGTTTAGCCCTGGTTATTGGGGAAGTGAGTACTACAATCTTTATTGTAGGTAGCTCCAAAAAGAGACCCCTATTTTATGACAACCCCGCCTGGCCCACATGCTTTGCGTTAGGATGCTATTCTGCCCCTTCGAGGTTTCACAGACTGACCTTTACAAGACTGTAACACTAGACCCTAAACCGCATTATGCTGCCAGGACTACTGCTCTTAATTTGCAGGGTCTGGAGCTTTGGGATGAGGAGCTTTCTGTCGAAGTTGCTGACTTTCTCCAGATTTTGGACTGAGGGTAGTTACCCTTCATCCCGCGGTTTAGGGTTTAGGGGCTAGCAACTGCAGGGTTGCTGATGCACATGAAGGGTTGCTGATGCACATGAAGACAGGCTGCCGGCTTATGCTAGTGCTCATGGATTCTTGTAGTGATCCCTTTATCATCCCATATGAGCTAGTCTAAACTCCTTAAAGGGGGTTGTATAAGGGAGGGATTCTAAGGGGGAGTATTATGGGGTGGATAGTAGGAGTTCAGACTGTAGCTCATATAGAGGTATATAGGAATAATGGAGAACCAACCGTAATCCCCGTATATACCCCCACAATAGGTCCCTATTTCGCTCCCCAATTCCCCCATCAGCACCAGTAATGTAACTGAGTCTTGATTGGATACGTGGGAAGCCCCTTTTCTATTCAATGCGCATGCCAGGTGCTTTGCCGAGAGACATTGAGAGAGAGAGAGAGAGAGACACACAGAGACAGAGAGCGAGAGTCATAGAGAGAGAGAGAGAGAGAGAGAGAGAGAGAGGGAGGAGGGAGGCAGAGGGGCAGAGTTTCATATTTTAGGGCCTGGGCATTGAGGATACATATGAATAGATGGGTGCGTATATATAGACATATGTGTACACATACACACTGACATATGTGTATATACATATGCACATATGTACTGTAGGGTTTGAAAAGACGTAGAGCCACTGATCTTGTGCCAGACTGACTTAGGTTCTGGGCTGCAGAGATAACACACCGAAGGGTGCAAAGCCAGCATTCAAGCCCTACTGCACGAAGAGAGAGGTTTCCATTTTGCCGCGATTAATTACATAGAAGGGAAGACAGCACTGTGATATCGTATACAAAGCCCAAAACAGATTCTTAGGGACCCAAGCCTCTATGGTTTGATTGGAATTTTGCATGGAAAGGAAAAGAAGATAGTGATGTTAGATATGGCTCAAAAAGACCCTCATCCCGTAGACTTACATGGGAGTTCCTCAAAAAGAATATGTGATCCCATACCTGAAAGATCCCAACAATGGAACCTCCCAATAACTCCCTAGTTTCCGAAACGTAGCAACGAGGTCATTTCTGGCTGGCTCCATTGTGTGGATCCTGTAGGGGAAACGGGAACCTGATGATCTCGTAGTATGATTACCCTATGCCCATACAAGGCCCAAACCCTGATGCGTAGATCCGATTATCCGTATATCCACTTCATATTTTTTGCCTCATGATCCTTATACAGCTACCTGTAAGATACAGAAGATGTCTCAAAACCCTGTGCCAACCCTAAACAGCAAACCCCCAACCCTAAAACCCCAAACCCTAAAACCCTAAACCCCAAACCCTGAAACCCCAAACCCGTAACTCCAAGCCCCAAGCCCTTAACTCCCACAATTTTCCTGCTTTGAGAAGCCTTCAAATCACTCAAAGTCCAAGGCCCCAAGTCTGCTTTGCAACTACCGGCATGGTGGGGGACCTGAGGTTTGAGGTTTGGGTTTCGGGTGTAGGGTTTAGGGTTTTTTTGTTGTATTTGCGATTGTAATCTCCAAACCAGGGACCAGGGGGATCCAGGGGGACTATTATTTCAATTGTTCTGATGATCACCTTTATTTTGCTACTAGTACCGTACATGTGGCCAGACGCTCTAGCGTTTAGGGGTTCCATAGATGAGGGGTCCTTTGTTAGGAAGTCCATATCTTATCATATGGAGTATCGCGTTGCAGGGTACCTTTTTTTGGAATTACCATTTTTGGGTCATTTAGAAAGCCTGGTTAGCTATAGCACTATATAATATACTTCCTTTGCTTCTGCATGACCCACAAGCTTCAGGATGTTTGTTGAGAACTCAGGTATATAAGGGTTTTGGGATTAGGGGTCCCTTCTTGAGGGTGCCTCCTAATGATCCTTGATAGGGCTTTAGGGGTTCGGGGGTCATAGCATCTAGGGAGACCTTGGGCTTGTGTCGGCGCTTCAGACTTGTGCCAGGCATTCAGGGATGGACGATGGACGGTAAGCTGAGGAGTGCTAATGAGGGTCATAGCCCTGCAAGGTGTGCTAAGATGCTAAGACTTAAGTTTCGACTCCGGTGAAGCTTGTATCTTGCTAATGCATCCCCTTTCCCACAAAGAGGATGCATCTGCAGAAGCCTCTTTCAGGTTCATGTTCCAAAGCATTGTTGCCCAAGGAGCTGCACATTGCCAAAGTCCAAACAGGCAAGGCTCGGTGTCACATTTTCCCACCAAGATGACGCAGCCCCTTTCTTTGGAGAAGACACCGCTCTCGCCATCCCGCTTGTCACGGCAGTCCACCAACACGAAGAAGCTGAATGAGAAAGCAGCGGCCATCCGCAAGAGCTTTCAGCGGCCGAAGTTCTATATGACAGGCTTTAGTCTAAACTCCTTAAAGGGGGGTTATGTAGGAGACTACGATAAGGCTTATTAAGGGGAGTACTAGGAGTTTAGACTCCTATACTGTAGCTCATATGACAGGCTTTGGCTGGTGCCTGGCCGCATGTGCCGGCGCGGCCAATGTGATCGCCTTCAAGAACTGGGGTCTCTATGCATCCCACGTGACAGGAAGCACCTCCAACATCGCTTTCAGCCTGGAAGGCTATGAACAGGGCGAGTTTACGAACCAGACCTTGAGGGAAGCCTGCTCTTTGGTCTTCTCATTTCTGGTTGGAGCATATGCATGCGGCCTCCTCATTGACAAGAACCAAGTGCACTTCAATGGCAAGGCGTTCTATGGCCTGGCTCTCATTTTGGAGTCTGCTTTGCTGACCGCGGCAGCCTTTATTCCAGGTCGCTTGGTTCCAGCATGCTTCGTGGCCACTGCGTGCGGACTGCAGAATGCCATGTGCACGTCGCACTTCGGCGCCATCGTCCGCACTACGCACGTCACCGGAACCATGACGGACATTGGCTCCACTATGGGTCGCATCAGTATGATCTACCTCCGGAAGGCTTGTCGCTGCACTCCACTGAACGCCATTGAGCGTGCTGAAATCGGCGTGGATGCACGTAAGTTGGCAGTGCTTGGAGGGTTGTGGACCTTCTACTTGATCGGAGGTCTCATTGGCATCTACGTGGAGAATATCATCCCAGGCCCCAAGGCGCTGTTGCTGCCGGCGTCCGTGACTGGCAGCGCGGGCCTGTTCTACCTGGCCTGCCGTCAACTTCTCAAGGACTGGGGGATATAGGGAGATATAGGGAAATGCAGGGATATATAGGGTATAGGGGTATTTCGGAGAAGGGTAAACCCTAAACCCTAAACCCTAGACGCTAAAATTTGAAGCTACCACTGTTTACAAGGACTACATCAAGAAGATGGAGAAGGATCGCTTCGCAGCAGACCTCAAGGAGGCCCAGGATGCCTTGACCCACATGAACCTGGGTTGCTGTTAAGGAACTTAATATGAGCTTATGAGCTACGGACGGAAGTTAGCTTGGGGGGGTAATAGGGGATATATAGGGGGGTATAGGGGGACCTGTTGAAGGGATATACTACAACTTTAGTCCAGGGCTCATACAAGGGTTGTATTGGGATAATGGAAACTGGAAACTAATCCTATTTATACCCCAATAAGCTTATACAGCATCCGAGGAACAGCCGTCTCCACGACCTTGAAGCCGGCGGTGATGACAAGCTGGCCACTATCCCTCTTACAGCAAGAAGTTTTTTTTGTATGGATACCCAAATGCGCAAATTCAAAGCATTGCCTTGGAGATCAGAACAACTGAGCAGGGGCTTAAGAAGTTTGGGTGCTGAATAGAGATCCTGTACTGTGACCTCTGGGCCATTCACCAGGTTGGCGACTTGGACACAGAGATGGGCCACATGATTGAGGCCCTCCACGAAGTGGAGGCGCCTTGCCGCCAAAAGGGTGTAGGGTTTAGGGTTGAATCTTCCAAGAAGCGCTGGCTAATTTCTTCATTGCTTATCTTTTGATTGCTGTTCCAGTACTTCCGTACGGGCACTTGCCTTTTTTGCAAGCCCGGGGGACCCAATAAGTAGGTTATAAATGGGGTTATGCATCCCCTAGTTGGGGTTAGCCAATTGATAACCTCATTTATAACCCCCCCCCCCCCGCTGTGCCTTCAAGTAGTACAGGTCGACTTTGAGAATGTCTATGAGCGGCAGGCCCAAGGGGATTTTTCAGGGTTTAAGGTTTAGGGTTTAGGGTGTAGGGCACACAGCAGCGCTTGTACAAGGGTTTAGGGTTTAGGACGATAGAAGGGATGTCTAGGTAGGGGGACATATAGGGACGCATTATAGGGATACATAGGGACATGTCCGGATGTCTAGGGTTTAGGGTAAGTAGTCCCCCAAACGAACATGGAACCTCTAAAAGGCTTTACAAGGACTGCTTCTACTTTTCAAGGAGATTTCACAGGTTCCATATTATTCTGGGGAAGGATCTGGGGCTATTTGCATGAGGCGACTGCAGGCTCCTAACTAGTTAGTAGTCTTGTCCGTTCTGTTTACAACCCTTCTTTTACTTATTTGTAAGAATATCCCCCGCGCAGACTTAATGTTTTAGGCCCCGACAGTATGCCCTTGGTTCCTGTAGAAGCGGGCTTAGAGCGGGCGGCCTTTGGTTAGTTCCCAAGTTTTGTGATTATTGTTAGGGTTTAGGGCTTAAAAGTTTCCAAAGCCTTGTACGTCCTGATAATTGAGCTCGTGCTATTATCCGTATTGCTAGTACGAGTACCGAAACTTCTCGTTTTTTAGTAGACTTGTCAGTATTGCTAGTATGGGTACTATTACTATCAATGGGTTGTAGTAGGGAATATGGGAATACACTATGGAGGGATCGTATTCCCTTACCCCTTGCGGATAAACCTTAGATCCTGAAGATTATTATTACTATATTGCTATCCCTAGTTGCTGCTGGAATAGTTCTCAACGTATTTCCGGCGTTATCTTGAAACCTGAGAGAATCGATAGTTGCACAGGCAGATGATTGATATCTTGGTTATTACTCGTATTGTCATTACTTTAGTTATCAGTTTTGTTATTCGAATTTGTCTTTCTACATTGTTGCTACTATGACTATGATTATTGTGACCCTCACCATCCTTACCATTCCTACGCCTCCTCTTCCTCCTCCTACTACCACCACCACCACCACCACCACCACCACCACCACCACCACCACCACCACCACCACCACCACCACACGTACTTGCATTAGTATTATCATTCATGATGTTCTAATTCCTATTGCAGCTCATCCGTGAGGTGAGCAAGGGCAGCAGGGCCAATGGCGCTGCAAGCGCAGGGCCGGCGGTAAGTGGCGGCGCATGAGCCGAGAGGTTGAATTTTTGAGGCTGCTGGGTTTGGGGGTAAGGTTTAGGGATTCGGGTTGATGCCGTGCATCATTTTCGCAATGAGGGCTTTAGTTTGGACTCGGACGGAATCCGGCTAGCTAGGATTCTAGTTTCTAGGGCCTAGGTTCTCTCCCAAACAGGTTCTCCGGTACCCATGTGGGCTTTTGCGTTTTGTCTTTCTCAGCATTGTGCACTGGTTGTTAGTATGGAATATGGGAGTATTATCCCCATATAATCCCTATATAATCGGTTCCCGTGTTCCCTACTAAGCCCCAATAAGATGAGACTGTCTGAGAGCACCATTTTACTCAGCTGTTGCAGGACACGCAGCTGGAGACGGTCTCTGCGGTCAGTTGCTCTACGAGGCACTGAGCCGCAGGGACCGGTAGATGGCGTATTAGCTACTCGGCATAGCTAGCTGCGATGACATCCACAATATCTTAATTCATCTTCGCAATGTGTAGCGGAAAGCTCCTGAATGTAAAGAGTTCTTGAATTCGACATGCACCGATGGGCAGTGAAAGATCCTGCCTTTAAGGCGAATGTTCACTTGCTAATGCAGTGCGTTCGCCACACCCTGTAAAGATTACTCGGCTCACTGAGCGACAGATCCTGGCCACGACGTTGCTGTGATACCTCTATAAACACGAAGTTTAGCAGTCTCACTTCCTTACAGTAACAGTACTTTAGTCTCCTTCACCGTCCGCCAGCCAGCAGTGAGCGCCTCAAACTCCTGCACCAGGCAGGAGGCTAAACCCAATCTGACCACATGCACAGCTTGCGCTCTAAAGTTGCGCTGACGCATAGGGGTTCAGGGCTTAGATTGACAATTGCCAGTTTTTTGCAATGTTATGTGACGATACATGTGCTATTCCCCTCAGGGGAGGGCCGTAACTTTAGCGGGAAATTAGTTTTCAAAGATTCGAAAGTCATAGCCCTAGAGTTGTGTTCATGAGGGAGTCCCTCAATCTAGCCGATGCGCCGCCTGTATATGAGCCAGAGTCTAAACTCCTTTAAGGGGGTTGCATAGGGGATTATACAGGGTTCCTATTTTAGGGGTTATTCAGGGGATGCTGGGAGTTTAGATTCTGGCTCATATGGATTCCATCTGTACCTACATGTCCTGTGAACGGATGCTCAAAGCTAGGAGTATAGAATTGCCCTCAAACTCCCGAATCTCTAAACCCTAAATCCTAAACCCTAAACCCTAAACAAACTTTTATCTACTAAGCCCTAGACCCACTTCTCTGAGCCCTTGCGGCACGTTACCAGTCCTGAGCAGTGCCTTTGGTATGAGCTAGCAAAAGGTGACTGGTTTGCAAGATCTAGGGTCAGATAGGCTATACCCTATTTGCTGAGCAAGGATTCTACAATATTGGGGCTTCCCTGTTTTGGGATTTAGGGTTTAGGGAAACCCCATATGAACCATAGTTTAAACTCCTTAAAGGGGTATATATAGGGGATCATATAGGGGAGTACTATAGTTGTCATTAAGGGGCATACTAGGAGTTTAGACTATAGCTCATATGAACTTTAAAGTCTTCAAGTATGTACAGCCCAGAAGGTCCTCGACAAGTCACTTCGCACAACCCTGAAGAAGACGTTGGGGGCGCGTGTCAGCGCCTGAGTGCTTCGTCAGGAAGTACCCGTGACTCGATCGGTGGTGTTGCATAGATATTCGGGGGTTCTCGGCGGGGATGCTTTTGAAAGGGGTTAGAATTAACATACTTTGGAATAATTAGGGGGACCCTCAATATTTGGAAACTCCCATTTACGTTCATTCTAGTCCTTTTAGCCCGGTTCGTTAAGTTATGCGGCATATGTTTCAAAACAAATTTGAGCCGAGTTGCAGGTAAGCTTTGAGAGTTAGTCCTGAGGGAAAGTAATAGGATTTGTTAGGGTGTCTTGGATGCTACCGATAGCACTTCCCATCTTTCCCGCCTACTGGTCGCCACTACTTCCTAGCACCTGGGAAGTCAGACCTAAACAAGGATGTGGCAGTTTTCCAAAGGAGGGGGACCACACTATAGACCACAAAATACTATGATCCTTCTGACGGGACCCCAAAGGGGGGTACCTCTAATTTTGGGAAACCCCCCGTATGGCTTTCCGGAAAGGACAGTTGAAGATGATTCCGTGCGTCCTTGCCTGTTGATTGTTGAGCGGGGGCTGGGTTCGGGTGTTCGAGCGATCGGGTTCAGGGTTTAGGGTTAGAAGAGAACTTGGGGGATGCAGATACTTCTTCACGCAGGCTAGCTGCTAGTTCTTCAATTTCAGTGCAGAAGATGCAAACCCCGTTTGGAATGCAGTCCAACCCCAAACCCTAAAACCTAAATCCTAAACCCTAAAGACATTGCAGGTATCTCCGATCCCAGTGCCAAACCCCAAATCCCAGGCCCAAAAGCTTTGAGCCCAAACCCTATACCTACAGGGAACCTCAGCAGGGTAAGCCCTGACATTTAACAGCTGCCAGGTTCTGGATGAGTGGTCCCCCAAGATCACGCACGTCATTGCCAGCGAATTCCGCAGGTTTCCGGAGTAGTAGCATTTTCCTTTTATTTTGAGGTCTCCAAAGAAAGCTGAACATTAGGAATGTTAAGGGCTTACCGCGAAACCTAGGTTGGGAGAGTCTGAGACGTTGCGTGCTTGGTAATGTAGTAGCTGAGTAAGTAACCTGGAGCTACCTAATCCTAGCATGGCCAAAATCTGAGCCTAGCCCTAAACCTAAACCCAAACCCTGGGAAACCCTGCAGCTAGGTCTGATGGTGATACTGGCCTCTGGACCACCCCTCCTCACCTAACCCGTGGGCCTGAACGATTGCCACGCTTGCTCCTTTTTTGACTATGATCTTGACCGAGATACATCTCCCTAAGCCCTAAACCCTATGGCACAATATACCCAAAAACCCTCTTCTGATCAAATAGTCCCCTACATTATCCGAACCCCAGAATATGGCAAGTGCTAGGGGGGTTCAGGGTTTAGGGGTTTAGGGTTTAGGGCTTAGACTTGTTTCTGGCGGGGTGTCTCGGGACTCCAGACTCTTCTTATTGTAAGGCTGCCTGCACGTTGGGCT